GTCTGTTCAGAGGCACTGTTCTCTCTGGCTGTGAACATGAGCTCCAAAAGTTTTCTTGCCTGCGTGGTGCCACAGTTGAGGACATCGCCTCACAGCTGCATGTGAATATGGCAGGAGCAGACCCAGTTTTTACAGTTTACTTAATGACCAATTATATGGGAAGAACAAGGAATTCAGTTTGAGAAGTTGGGGTCCAAACTCCAGTGCAGAACATCAAATGTAATAATCTCTGGATTGTTACTTGAGCCATGTGCCATTTGGCATTAGGTCAGGCAGATAGGAGAATTAAGTGTGTGGCTCACAGACGTGTGGGAAGAACATGCTTTGATTCATGAGACATTAGCACCAGAACTCTGGAAGAGTGAGTTATTCCACTGGGATGGGTTTCACTTAAACTGGGCTGAGGCCAGTGATTTAACAAATCATAGGATTATGACAAGACTGAACTAGCATAAAGGAAAGCGTGTTTTGGTAAAGGGAGGTTTAGACATCCAAAAGACAACAGGCTAATGCAGTGATACAGTTAAAGATTAACAAAGTTGACAGGAAGGGCAAAGGGTTTAACTGTATTTGAGCAACATTTGAGAAAGATCCACATCAAAAATAAGAGTTTAAGAGTAACATTCATGCCAAACATTCCAGGCAGTGACCATCTCCATAAATTCAATCTAACTATTACCTCTTGACATTCAAAGGCGTTACCATCACTGAATCCCCCAAGATCAACATCGTGTGCAAATAACTCACCACCTGACTCCCCAAAGCCTGTCCCTCATCTGCAAGGCACATGTCAGGAGTGTGATAGAATATTGTCCACTTGGTTGGATGAGTGTTGCTCCAACAACACACAAAAAGCTTGACACCATCCTGGACCAAACTACCTGTTTGATTGTAGTGCCAATGAATTGGTGGTTAGCACTGCGGCCTCACAGCACCAGGGACTCACGTTCGATTCCAGCCTTTGATGACTGTCTGCCTGAATGGGGTTTGCATATTCTCCCTGTGTCTGTGTGGGTGCCCTGGTTTCCTCCCACAGTCCAGAGGTGTGCAGGCGATGTGGATTAGCCATGCTAAATTGTCTGCAGTGATGAGGGATATGCAGGCTAGGTGGATTGGCTGTGGTAAATGGATACATGGGTTACATGAATAGGGTAAGGGGTTGGGTCTGGGTGAGATGCTTTTCAGAGGGTTGGTGCAGACTCAGTGGGCTGAATGGCCTCTTTCCACACTGTAGGAATGTTGTGTTTCTGTGAATATCCACACCCTCCACTGCTGATGCTCAGTAGCAGCATTTTGTACAATCTATAAGATGCCGGTGATCCTTAGACAGTATCTTCTGTACCTACAACCATTTCCATCTAGAAGGTACGTGGAACACTATCCATGTTCTCCTCCAAGCCACTCTCCATCCTGACTTGGAAATGTATTGCTGTTCCATTAGCGTCATTGGGTCAAAATCCTGGAATTCCATCCCTAAGGTCATTGTGGGTTAACCTACACCATGTGGACTGCAACAGTACAAAATGACAGCTCACCATCACCTTCTTAAAGGGAACTAGGGAGGGCAATAAATGCTGGCCAGCCAGTGTTTTTTTTCAGAAAAATGTAAATTATAGGGCTCATTGAACATGCAAAGCATCTGCAAAAAAAAATAAGCTAATGCCTGAAATCATTTTTTTTTAAATGATCTAATGCCATCATGTGGTAACCAATGTTGTGGAAGTAAATATTCCATCGATTAAAATATTTTTAAAATATACACTGAATAGCAAAGGACAGTAAATAGTCCTTATAGTAAGGGATGACATAAGGACATTGGTGAGGAACGATCTTGACTCTGAAGATCATGAATTTGAATCAGTATGAATGGCAATATAAGAAAAGCAAAAAGTTAGAAAATGCTAGAAGGAGTAGTCAATAGGGCCGGTAATAAGGAAAATATTGGAGGATATAACAAAAGTAATGTACTAATTGTGGGAGACTTGTTCCATCATTCAATGAGATCATGTTATAGACGTCTTAGACTAGATCAATGAAATTGGCAAGGATGGTCTCAAATGAGTTTGAATATTTTTTGCGATGGTTTCCGGAAGCAATACATTATGGACCCAATTATGATTAAGCTATTTTTGATACAGTTGTCTGCAATGAGACAAGATTAATTGGTTATCTCATAGTTATAATTCTGTGGGAACTAGTGATCGTAACACAGTTGCATTCCATATTAAATTTGAAGGCAAATTCAGCCACAAACAAGAATCGTGAATTATGTTCAGTGCTATTCGTACAAGGATAAGGGGAGAACTGGCTGAAGTTGATTGAAGGTATGAGCCTAAACAAGTAATGAAAATATTTAAAGAAGTCATTCAAAATCTTTTTTTTTTCAAAAAAAGATCCATTGTAATACAAGCATCACAAATAAGATTCTTTCGTAGCTTACTCAGGAAGCTGAGTGTAGTATTAGATTAAAAGAAGAGTTTTATGGTTGCAAAGATTTGAGGATTGGGAATGGTTTAGAAGCCAGCAAAGGGTCACCCAAAATGTTGGTTAGAAAGAGGCAAAAGAGAATATAAGAGTAAACTAGCAATTGATATAAAAAAGTTTGTAGAGTTTTTCTAATTATACAAAAGGAAATGTCTTGCTAAATTAAACATAGTTTCCTAAGAAACTGAATGAAGAAATTATTTTGTGAGGAAATTGCAGAGATATTGAATAATTATTTTTTTCCTCTTTATATCAGAAACGTCGGGTATAAAAGGTAAGGTAATATGGGAAATTAATATCAGCAGAGAAAAATCATTGGAGAAACTGAAGGAACTAAAATTCAACAACAAGTCCCCTGGACCTAATATCCCATATCGACAGGTTTGTGGAGGTAGCTGCTGAGATAATATTTGCTCTAGCTATAATTTTATAAAGTTCCCTAGATTCTGGAACAATACCAGCAGATTAGAATTTAGCAAATGCAATACAGCAATTCAGGAAGGAAGGGAAAGAGAATATTGTGAGCTGAGCACCACTTCACCTGACATCGGTTGTTGTGAAACAAATAGCATCTACTATTACGGAATTATTAACAATGCACTTTGAAAATTTTAGAATGATTATAATAAGTCAAAAAGGAAAACATGATAAGTCTAGAGTTCTTCATTGATATACAAGCAGGGTAGATCAAATGAACCGATTAGATGTAGTGCAGCTACAGTTCTGAAAGCCATTTGGTAAGATGCCCCTCGAGGTTAATGGGCAACATGTAGGGTAGTAGTACGGGGAGAAGTATATTAGCATGGACCAAGGAAGCAAAAAGTTGGCATAAACGAGGGATTTTTAAAATTTGGCAGATTATGAATTGGAGTGCTGAAGGAATCAGTTCTGGTGTTAAGCTACTTAATTTTTATTTATAACTTGGATATATTTCTTTCTGTCCCTTTTTGTCTGTTTGCCAACAATACAAACATGGGAAAATGTAAACTGTTGGGAGGATGGAGAGTCTTTAAAGGGATTCAGACAGTTTGAGTATGACAGCAAGAAGGCAGATGCAGTAAAATGTGCGAATAGTCTCCCACTTCCCCACAAGAATAGAAAAACAAACCTTTTGAAATGCATGAAACTTGTAAATGTTGATGCATAGAAACACTTGTGTGTTAATGCAAGGAACAATTAGCTTGCAAGTACAACAAGTAATTTTATTTATGCATTGTGAGCGTCACTGACTAGGTTCGCATTTGTTGCCCATTCCTAATTGTCCAGAGGGCAATGAAGAGTCAACCACATTACTGTTGGTCTGGACTTGCATGCAGATAAGAATAAATTGTCTCTAAAGGACATGGGTGAACTAGAGGGCTTTTAACTGTTGGATTGTAGTCATGTATATGCCTGGCAGGGAAGAAAGTATTTTGTTCTCTTTGACATTATTGAGCTAGTTAGCAACAATCCTGTAGTTATATCATTAAATAAAGTTGACTTTTTTTAAAGAGGTAATATTATCAGTAATTAACGGAGTTTAAATTCTTTAGTTGCAGTGTTAAGATTTGGCTCAGAAATGACTGGATGCTAAATTTTCCTGGATACAAGAGGATATAGAAAGGAGAAAGTGTGACAATATCCATGAAGGAGAATATGTTACTAGGAAGCAAATGTCCTTTAAGAAAAATACCTCCTTGTTGAGAGGGAACCTGAGAGGTGTCTAAGACTAAGGGACATGGATAGAAAGACACTTCATTCATTTCTAAAGGGGCCAATGACCTTGAAGCATATTTTTAAGAAAGGATAAGAAGGGTGTTGAGGAGAAACCTTTTCCCCCAGTGGGTTGTGGGAGCCTGGAACTTGCTGTCTGAAAGACTGGCCGAGTCAGAAACACTCTAAACATCTAAAGGTTATTTACATTTTGACTTGTGTTACCATATCCTCCAGGGCTATGGATGAAGAGCTGGAATATGGAATTAATGTAGCCAGATGTTTGCAGACACAATTGGTCAAATGGCCTTTTTCTGCGCTAACAGAGTCTGAGTCTAAAAAGCATTAGAGATATCATAATTCCATTGTGTTTACTCTTTAGGCCACTGACTAGTGGGAAATATATGGAGGTGCACAGTACTGCAAAAAATGTTGAGTAATGTTATAATTCATTACTATCTCCATCTGTTTTAGAATATTGGGCAGACATATATGGGTAGGATTGCAACCGGCGCAACACAAGACTTCTGATACTGACTTGAGATGAAAGAAGGAAAAGTTGCAGTGAATAGTTGTGCTGAAAAGCACAGCCTGAAAGTGTGGCAACAGATTTTAGTTGTGGTTTTCAAAAGATATTTTGAATAAAATTTGCAGGTAGAGAAGTGGGACTAGTGCATTGTTCTTGCAGAGAGCTAGTGCAGATACTCTTGAACAAATGGTCCCAACCTCGTCTGCTTGTGTGCTATGAATCTATCCCTGAGGTCCAGTTGCATAACTAATATGCCACCATACTTATTTTGTTGTTTGTTTTTGTTCTGTTGCAGTCACTCTCTCCAACATCACCCAGCTGGTGTTAAGTCACAACAAGTTAACGAGTAAGTAAATTTCAGTGATTACTGCTTCAATGGAACACATTGAAATGCTGCTGCGAACTGTGCAAAATCGACTGTGAGAATAAATTTCAGCCAGCTAAGTTAGTTTATTGTAAGAGATGAACCCAATGGAGCAGTTGGCTAGTGTTTTGTAGCTGATGTGGAGACCTGCAATTATTTCTATGGAGAGACTGGGTCTACACATAGTACTTTGCTTTAGTGCTGCAATTTTATATTGGTAGTTTTTAGAATTTGTATGTTAAGAGGGTATATTAAATTGAGAGTAACTTGTACTTTTTAAATGTTCTGTTTTTAGTATTTCAAAGGTTGGGGTAATTTAGCAGATTTGTTGATTTTAAATTGCAAATCAGTTCCATGAAATTTGAAATGCATGCTTCAAAATAAATGTACTTGAGTTAAGCTATTTGGCCTTTTGCCGAAGTGAACTTTTATTGTATTAGGGCTGTCGTCTCCAAACTCCTTAAGCACAAGATCACTTCTTGAAATTCTGTGCCATCCAGGAACTACCCCTTAGAAAATATAAAGTATAGCATTAAAATTGAATTGCTTATAAGTCTAAAACTAATATAATCATGTTGTCCTTTACTCACGAAGTCTTAATGTGATTGTACATTATCTGCCAGTGCCTTGAAGTTAGGATTGTAGTTTGAGACTGCTACGCTCAATTGGATGGCTGTCCATGAGGTGGGTGTGATAACAGTATTTGACTATCTTCATTTGGGAGAATGCTTCCCCGAAAGTAAGATTTCACTTACACACCAGGAAGATGGGAGGAGGGATTTTCCTCTATTTACAAGTCCCCAAAAATATCCCTGTCCCTTGATCTGATTTTCAGCTTAATGTCCTATTGCATTGTAGTTCTCTCTACATCAATTCCATTGCTCTTTAAATAAAACACCTGATGGAATTTGGTAGCCATTAACATCTACTTGAATTAAGTTCTGTATAAGAGCACTTCTGGATATTTTTAAAAAAATCAACATCTACTTGAAGAAATGGATATGTTACAAACATGATAATGTATTTCATCACATCTAAAATCTTGAAAAGCATGTAGAACTCCTCTGTTAGCTTCTTCACTTGTGCACAGGTTTTTTTTTCTTCTGTATTTTCTTCAGTCTGTGTAGCAGTACTTCATTAATTGGAGGACCACAGACCCAGTTTCAAATTGAATGTATTTGTAGCACTGATCATGTGTCCCCTCTTTGCAGTTCACGGTTCCACTCCTTTGTTTTAGACTTTATGTCTTTAAGAAACTGTAAAGTGTTTGAGGGCAGCTACAAAATAAAATGTTAATAGAATTTTGGCCTTTTTGTTTTAAGTCAGCAGTGTGTTAGTATACAAATCTGAGAAAGTGACATTTGTGCAGAGCCTTAGTCAGACCGTACTTGGAGCGCTGCATTCAATTCTGGGCACCACACTTCAAGAAGAATGTTATGGTATTGAAGACAACAATCAGAACATTAGTTAGAATTTAAACGTGTTATGACAGTTTTGCAAATTTTGTTTTAGTATTCGTTTGACTAATCTACTCAAAATGGTTAAAATGATAAAAGGTCCAGTAGACGACATGCAGGAAAATCTATTTCCACTAGAGAAATATGGACAAGATGGCAATGTGTGATCTCGATTATACTGTTGTTTGAAATGGATAAGACATTTATAAAAGGTCCGGATATTGATCATTCATGATCTAATTGAAAGTGGAGCAAACTCAAGAGGCTGAATAACCTACTCCAGCTTATCTTCATAGATCTAAGTGAGGTTTATGGGGCAACTGTTCCAAATTGGCTTTGTTTTGTCTCATTTTGTTGATAAATACTGTTGTAATTATTCTTCAAACATGGTTAAATGGGGTTTTTTTCCCTTTTTGTTCATGGAATGAGGGCATCATTAGCCAGGCTGGCATTTATTGCCAATCCCTAATTGCCCAGAGGGCAGTTCAGGAGAATACCACATTGCTGTGGGTCTGGAGTCCCATGTAGGCCAGACCAGGTAAAGATGGCTGTTTCCTTCCCTATAGGACATCAGTGAACCAGATGGGGTTTCCCCCCAACAATCGACAATGGATTAATGGTCGTCATCAGACTCTTTAATTCCAGAATTTTTTTTCTTTATTGTTGATTTCAAATTCTGCCATCTGCCGTGGTGGGATTCAAACCCGGGTACCAAGAACATTACTTCGGTCTCAGACTTAGTAGTCCAACAATAATACCGCTCAGCCATCTCTTCCTTTCTGTGGTGGAATGAGATTTCAATTAGAATTAAAACTTAGTTTCCTTAAAGTCTTGAGTGAATTATGGAGGGATCAGTCATGCAATTTTCTGTCATGAAAAGATTTTTCTTTTGGTTGTAAGGTACAGTCACCATTGTCTTACCAGACCAGTAATTCTTTGCACTCTGGTATAAAAATTTTCTTTACCCTAACCTGATTGGCAACTATGTAACCACTGTCAATTGTTGAGAAAACCCAGCTAGATGACTAGTTTCCTTTAGGAAAAGTAATCTGCCATCCTTACCTGCTCAGGTCCACAGTGTGGTTGATGCTTAACTGCCCTCTAGCAATTAGAGAGAGGGTGTGAATACAGAGCCAGCAATAAATTTAAAAAAAAACTCAAGATTTTGCGAACATTGCCCATTCAGATCATTTTTCACCATCTATCCTACAAACTGGTCACTGTTTTTCCTGAAAAGTGCCTTAACTCAAATTTCCCTGGAAAGAAAAAAAACACCTGACCAGTTTGAACAACAGGTTAAGCTGGCTATTTCTTCGTGCTACCAATATAACGGTAGGAATATAGGCTGTACATTCCAAAGGCTGGCAGATTATACCAAACAGTATGTCCTTTAGGATGCTCACAACAAGTTATGGAATTGTACCCAACCAAACTGTGTTCACAAAATTCATTGTCCAGCACTAGCTGCAATTTGATAGCGTTTGCTAAATAATCCTGAAGGTGAGAAGAATTTTGCTGAAAATCATTTTAGGATGGCCAGTCAGGCTTGTAATTTAGCACACTTGTGTGTACTGGAAGCTGCATATTTTAATACACAGTGCCCTATTCTTTATGCACCTGTTTCAACTTGACAGCCGTTCATTAATTTATTTCTCAGGGCAACACCTTGACTAGAGAACCTGTATAGGTTAAAATTTAAGCAAAACTCAACAGTTAACTGACAGTAAAATCATTAAGTGGTACATTCTATATGATGATATCTTTTACTTGCCAATCAATCCTTGCATGCAGCATAAATGTTGTTTTCCCTTTGCTTTGTGATATTTGTTACAAACTGCCCTGATGAATGCACAATGAAAAGCTTTGACAGAATGTCTTTTTTTAGCAGTAGTTAAATTCTGTACTAATGTAAGACTGCAGGTATCAACTATGTAGTGAGTTTCAAGTTGAAGCTTGAAAAGTGAGTGTTGGCAAGTTAATCAACTTCAGGAAGTATCATATGTAAAGGATTACAATATGTTGATCTGTAATAAAAATAATAACCCAATAACATAATAGTAAGTTTTCCCTGGGTCTGATAGATCAGCAGGCTGGACGACTGGTTTGAAACGAAGAGTGACGCTAATAGCAAGAGTTCAATTCCCACACGAGCTAAGGTTTTCATGAAGAACTTTCCTTCTCAACCTCTCTCCTTACCCAAGGTGTGGCAACCCTCCAGTTAAACCACCAATGGTAATCCCAGTTATACCATCGTGCAGATTGAGTATCAGGGAATAAACCATTGTCCAAACTGTAGCTCCACTAATAATTTAGTGCACATTTAGAAATTTGATTTTTCCTCCCAAATGTTTTGCTTCCTACATTTGCTGTCCAAGATTTCTTTTTTTTCCTTAAGTTAAGTTTGTGGTGTGGTGCATTTATAGTAGAAGCCCCATATTAATACTCAGGGCCCTATTCTTTGCTGACGTGAGTACATGGTATGCGTGTTGAAGCTTGGGGAAAATAGGTGACAACTATTCTTTGGCGATGCCGTTGCCCTGAAATTAACCAGTCAAACTCTGTTTAAATTGTAAATCAAGGTTGATAGTTAACTGTCAATTGTCATTAACTGATGCATTCTCCATAACAACACCTCTTTCAATTTGAGTTCACTTACTAGCCAGTCAGCACACTCTCCTGTCTCGTACAGTATAAATGGTGTTGTTCGTTATGCTAGTATTTCTTGTGAATTGTCCTAATGAATGCAAAACGGACAAGCTTCAAAGTGTTATTTCTTTTACCGATACTCAAAATTGACATCTGTTAAACCAAGACTTTACAAAGATTCCATGTGTTGAGAATGGATAGAAGATGTACTTCTCTTCCACTTCTTCCTTCTCCTTCCTGTAACAAAGAAAAGTAGAGACTCAACTGACAGGGAAAAAGCATTGATCATGGAGTAATTGTTTGACGAACACACACAACTAGGAATGTGACAGGAAGAAGTGGAGAAGCTATGCAATCTTGATAATATTGCTCTTTGACTGAACAACTGGATAATATTGGAGCGGGGCCGGTCAAAATAACTTCAATGATCATGATATGGAGATGTGTGTTAGGCTTATGATGGAGTTTAAATATAGTCAAACAACTTAAGAAAAAAAAAAGAAATCTTGGACAGCAAATGTAGGAAGCAAAACATTTGGGAGGAAAAATCAAATTTCTAAATGTGCACTAAATTATTAGTGGAGCTACAGTTTGGACAATGAGTATCAGGGAATAAACCAATCTGCACGATGATGGAAGCAATATAGAGAATGGGGAGAGAAATAAGATTTTTGTTTTCATGAAGCATTGATAGAGTATGTTGGATATGAAGATAGATATAAAAATTACAAAGGAGATTAAACTGATGGGAGAGCTAACCTAGAAAATTAAATCTGTGATGGGTAGTATTAAAAACAATCTATACATATGTTTGCTGTGAATATATTTAAAAATAAACTGTAGTCACTGAGAAAGTCCAGAGGCGGTATGACTTCCAGT